GTTTCTTCGGTCGTGTCGAGTGGGTGCTGCTTTTAAGCTAGTGCCGCGTTCTACAGGACGTTAAGTGAATAAAGTTAAAATCATTCACAATTACAGTAAAACGCACGCCAATAAAAACTCACTCACACGTCGTTGTTTCGAATCTGATGATCGAAAAACGCGAAGTGAAAATGTGTCTCAGAAGTCGTGTCTTTCCGTAGCATCGGGTGGGCGTTGCGTGTATTTAAGCTCCTGCAGCATGACGTCTCAATCCGGGTTAGGGTAGTGGAATTTCCGCTTACGTAAATTCCGGTAACATGTAATATCGTAGTCAAAATGTTAATGCATAGGTTTTTGTTCCGGGTGAAGGAAATTCCTTTTCATAGAATTCCGGGAATGGGAATATTTACTGTATATATACATACACACACACACACACACACACACACACACACACATATATATGAGGGACACAGTGCAGTCATCATTAATGGGTGTGTGTGTGGGGGGGGGGCGGTTGGGGTCTCTGATCCACCTGCCATCTGTGCCGATGCATATACCACTAACAAGAAATGACAATGACATTACTATTAGAGAATCAAACTTGAGAGCTATTAAAAATGTTTTTAAAACAGTATTATAAAAGGGAATGAAACAGGTTGAAAATAAAAATCTGAGCTCTCGACAAATACTTTTGAAGTGTGTTTTGCATTCCTAAAGGAAATTAGGAATGTATACGATTGATCTTGTTTAATAAATATATTTTCACGAATAAATAGGTCAACTCTAGAATATTTCCATTCGAACCAAAATGTTCTTTCCTTTTTTGGTCTAAATTGTTCAGACTATGTATTAAGGACACAACTTATTGCTCAAAAAGTAATGTTACAATAATAGTTGAATGAGAAATTACATTGTGATGGAAACTGAGCGAACAATGGATTAAGAAAATAACTGACATACTGCATATACACTGCATAAGATAATAATCAAATTTTAAAAGTTGTCCAAAATCTGATGGTGTCTTGCAAACATTACGAGGTGCATTATTAACAATCTGAGGCTAACTTTTTTTTTCACTCGTCCCAGAGAG